GAGATATCTGGAAATACAATCTTGAATTTTAGTGCTAACTTTATAAAAGCATTTTATGATGATACCGCTTTATAAGGTGTTTTAGAGCAGTACCCCCTCGTTTCCATCTCATTGATACCCTCCCCCCAAAAAACCCCATAAATTTCCCCCCAAAGTTATGGTCTTTGTTTTTTTACAAAACAACCTTATCACCATCAAAGTACTCTCCATTACATTTAATCCATTTTTCAAATCTGTAATTCCATTCCTGGAAACATTTTTCAAACTCTTTGGCTGATAGCACCTCCCTTGTTTTTTTCTTCACCTTTTCTGTCTTTAAATTGCTTCCCTTTCATGTTCCTCTTCATTCGTGGAAACAAAAAGAAGTTTCATGGAGCAAGGTCAGGTGAGTAAGGTGTATGGGGAAAGAGAGGAGGCATGCTGTTTTTTGCCAAAAACTGGCACTTTGAGATAGCTGCATGACTGGTGTATTGTCATGGCGGCAAAATCAGCCCCCCATCTGCCACAAACCAGGCCTTTCTGGTCGTACACTGTTAGGGGTTCTTTTCAGAACCTCTAAATAGAAAGCTTGATTAATAGTCTGACCTGATGGAACGAACTCCAAATGCACTATGAGTCAATTTTTTGCCTGTTCAGGAAGTTGACAGATATCCAGAATGAAGTTTGTCATCTATTGACATTTCACCTTTTTGGAAACTAGAAAACCACTCGTACACTTGAGTTTTTCCTATAGCATTGTCCTTGTAAGTTGCGTTCAACATCACTAGTTTCTGCAGCTGTTTTCTTAAATCAGCTGTCTCACAAAAAACGAAGTTCGAATGAAACTGCTTTCATGAAAGCAGTGATGAGAGAGAACCTTCCCAGGCAATGTGGCGCCACTGAGTACACTAACTCAGAGTAAGTTGCTTGATGCCCTGCAGGAAAAATCCGTACTATAAAATCTACGCTCTACCCAGTGCAATTCTGGGTTTTTTGGGGTACCCCCTAGTATAAACTTGTCTTGATTTGCAAAGTAGTGAAGGCATCATTTGAGTCTAAAAGCTATGAGTCATAAGGCATTACAGCTTCTAATAATTTCTTAGAAATTGTAATGATAATATCTATCAAATCCAAGCCCATTCCTATTGAATTTATGTAGACTTAGAGACCCTATCGGACAGAGTAGAAATGTTAGAAAGGGTTTTCAAGGCTGTACTCTTTAGGGAAACATACTGCCACGTATATATCCCACTGTGTGGCTGTTGGGTTCGACCACTGACATTTCAGTTAGCAACTGAGTGCTTAACCACGGTGCCACCAGGACGCCTCTTACTTATTGTGACAGCATTTTGGGTAATAGAGAATAGCTGAACTTACATCACTGTATGAATCTTAACTTCAGTATGTCTGCCACAATGAGTAGAGAATAAGTAAAGTTTGCATCTTCACTAACCAAAATCAAAACCACTGCCCCTGAGTAGATTCCAATTCTTAGCTGTGCTTTATAGCATTTCCAAGGCACTTTTTCTTTCTGGAAGCAGATAGCCTCACCTTTCTCCCAAAGGTCTGAACTGCCACCCTGTCAGAAGTCCATCAGTTACCCGACAGTGCCACTAAGGGATCCCACTAATTAGGTGAAGTATTTTACTCCTGTCTTCCAGATGCATTCATTACCTTGTAAATCAATAGATAGGTTTATATTTCATTATTTTTCATCATTATTCTGGGAACAAGATTTATGATTATTATTATTATTATTATTATTATTTTTAAAACATTTTATTAGGGGCTCATACAACTGTTATCGCAATCCATACACACATCAATTGTGTAAAGCGCATTTGTACATCATTCTCAAAACATTTTCTCTCCACTTAAACCCCCAACATTAGGTCCTCATTTTTCCCCTTCCTCCCCGCTCCCCCCTCCCTCATGAGCCCTTGGTAGTTTATAAATTGGTATTTTGTCATATCTTGCCCTGTCCGACATCTCCCTTCAGATGTATTATTTTTAAATTCCTTACAAAGTGATATCTTAATAAAATATACTTTAAAAGCCAGTGTGCAACTCTAAGTAAACAACACAGTTTCTGGAGATCTGAAAATATTAAAATAACACTCTGTGTGTGTGTGTGTGTGTGTGTGTGTGTGTGTGTGTGTGTGTGTGTGTTGTTGTTGTTGTTGTTGTTGGTTGGTTGGCTTATGGCTACTACTCATGCGGTTGGTCTTACAGGGTTTTGATTTTGTTATAGTACAACCACTAGAGTAAACCTGAGATGTGTAAACCTCATGGACAAGCAGATGAAATTTGGGCTCTCACTTAATTCTAGTCCCAATTCAAGAATAGTTAGTTCTGGCCCTGCTCAGTATTCACCTTCATGAGAGTGCTATAGCAATGTGTGGTGAATAAAGTAGATGGTGCCCAGCTATCAACTGGAATAGTGTCTGGGGTCTTAAAGGCTTGCATTCAGACAAGCAGCCATCTAAGCAAGGAGACAACTAAGTCCACATGGAAGAAGCACACCAGTTTGTGTGTGTGATGCAAAGATGATAATTATAAAATTCAAATATGGCAAAGGGAAAAGAAAGTATCAGAGATAAAATTTGTAGAAGGTTATGGAGGACAGTGGCAGCGCAAAACCCATCTACAGAGTATCTAACTGGCAGATCTGCTCTAGTTACAGACAAGAGTCACGAACAGCCTTATATCAACCAGAGACCATTGTAATTTTGATTATGGTGAACTGAACTTGATAAATGGCCAGTTGAGCTCCCTATAGACTTGACCTGAATTTGTTCTAGGTGCTAGCATCTCTTATTTTTTCCATGACAGAAATTTCTTCCCTGGCTTTTTGGATGCTGATGGGAGTCTTTTCTTTCTCAATCATTATTTGTATTTTTGTCTTTATATTATTATTATTTTATCTTTACCTCTTTATTTCGATTTTGTTTTTTATTGTTTCTATTGGGTCTCCCAGCTTGAAACACAGGAGGAGTGGATGTATGGTGATAATCACTTATACATGGGTTGATAGAGGGGATGCAGGGGTTGGGGGGGTGGCGTGGGGGGTGGCGGTCGGTGATAGGGAGGGAAAGGGGATTTCAGGAATAGATAAGGAAAGAAGGAGCAGGAGGGAGCGCTTGTATTGATTGTGAATGCACAACTCACTTTAAAAGCAATTGAACCATGCAAGGGGAAATATTCTAAAATTGTTGTGAAATGATTGTACAAGTCTCCTTAATATAATTGAACGATTGAATTGTATGATACCTAAATTATATGCCAATAAAACTGTTGGGGAGGGGGAAAAATAGCACCATATGCAAGAAGAATTTTGCCGAAGACCAGTCACTCAAAAATGGTTGCAGTAGCACTTTGACAGGTTGCAGTAGCACTTTGACAGGGAACTACCAGAAATTCGGGCTTGACTGAGAACAGGTGGTACAACAAGGGATATCATAAATTACTAATGACAGGTAGATCTTGGCTGAAAATAAAGAATACCAGAAATATGTTTGCCTCCCTACTATGCATGGTTTACTCGATTTTGACACATAATGACCATATAGGACAGAGTAGAACTTTCTGAGACTGTAAATCTTTACAGAAGCAGACAGCCTCTTTCTTCTTCAGAGAAAGATGTTTGTACTTTACTGACTAAGTAAAGGCATTGATTGGTTCATATGTATATATATATAGATAGATAGATAGATAGTTCTGTGAGAAATAGGAATTACAGAAAGTTTTTTTGTACTCATGCAGAATGTGTACATAGCCCATGATGCAGTTGTTTGAAAAGAACCTAGGGGTACTGCATGACCGAGAATCAAGAAGGTGTGAGTTAGGGCTGTATGCCTTCACCATACATATTCACCATCTGTATTATGAGCACATAATCTGAGAAGCTGGACTATATGAAGGATATAACATCAGAATAAGAGGAACACTCATTTAAT